TCCCCTCCCCCCTACCCCTCTTCTTCTCGTTCTGCACTCTTCCCCTTGCCCTCCACCTCTTCCTCCTCCTCCTCTTCATACTTTGCCACCTCTTCTTCCTCCTTCTCCTCCTTCTTATTCCACCTCACTCGTGCGAGACGTGTTTATGAACGCACCGAGTAGGAAAGAAAGAGTGAGATAGGGATATACAATGGATGCCAGGCTGCGTTCCAATGCCTTCCTATCGTCGCACGTGTGCGCTCACTTACGGCCACTTTATGGCACTGTGATACACAGAAAAGGATACTGACCGATTGGAAACCTTTTACGATCGACGCCTGTACGCGGTCACGTTGAATGCTTTCTTTCTGCATTCCCGACCGATGACCGATCTTTCTTTTCTTTTCCTTTTTTTTTTTTTATTTTCTTCTTCTTTTCTTTTCTTTTTTTTTTTTGCTTCCTCCATCTTGTCTTTGTTGCAAATGCTGAGAAATCGTATCGACGAGAAGAGTGTGTGTTACTACTCGCAGTTATTACAATAATCTGTATTATACTTATTTTAGTCAACATTACCTCTTGAGAATAATAATTGTGTACTATTCATAGTTATTTTGCTACTTTCATACTTTCAGAGTACAATTCTATTTAGAATTATTTTATGAAAGATTATTGTAGACTTTTTTTTTTCTTTTTTGAGGTTATGTTAGAGTCCAATTTCTTTTTGTTTCCAGGTTATTTTATGAAAGATTATTATCGTTGTTGAAAATCTTTTTTTTTTAATTTCGAATTATTCTTCGTGAAAATTCATTCGTTAATATACAAATTTGAAAATATTGTAAATATTTGAAAAGAGAGTAAAACGTGATAAAAGTTTGATTGGTCGAGAAAGTAATGGCCGACTCTTGTCGGTCGCCATTGTTGTATTATTATGACCAGCAGTAGCAGCAGCAAGCAGCTGTCCATTTAACACGAAAGAAACGACGCGAAAGTGTCGGATGATTAATAATGAAATCGTAGCTTATTTACGTAATGGAGAATTATCTTTGGAACGGTGAACGTTTAATCGAGAAATAGAAAGAGAGAAGATACGTTCTATATTATCTTGGTTATATTTATACTTATATTAGAGCACAATATCAATCTGACTGTGCCGTATTGGATGAACGTGAAAGTTTATTCAAGATTTTCATCGAATTGTACGAGTTTTATTTTTTCATTATTTCCCAATCAAAACCATCTTTTTATAAACCTACACATTTAGTTTTGCTATTTTTATTTTTAAATTCCAATAATTGGTATCTAATATCGAACGTGTACTGATTACATTTTTCAATTAATCCAACATTTATACTTTCATTTGATAAGAATTTGTTAACTTTATTGCGATTATAAAATTTGTAATAAATTTGATCGTACAAAAACATATCGATTACAATCAAATGATTTTCTTTAGAATACATTTATAAATAAGATAAAAGAAGATAGATAAACTGAGGTGTGTTAAAACACTATGAAAGCAGCTACACGATCGTTACTCTCTCTCTATGCGCCAGCTTGCTGCGTTTCGGAGATGAAAGGAACGAAGAAGGGCTCGTCGTATCGATTCCACGGAACTATATCTATGAAATAAGCTTTGACCTCTCCGCCTTTCTCGATGTCTTCGAAATATAGACTTTCCTACGACCAATTCTCTTTTCATTTATTCTCATTTCCTCCTTATTATTTTCTTACAAACAAACAAAATCTTATAATTAAAAAAAAAAAAAACGACACATTTAAACCTAACCTAACAATTTGAACATATGTTAAATCGTACGACGGCCATGTTTAATAAAAGGATTATACCCTCACCCCTTCTCTTCTACTCGTCACATTTATTCGACCGATAAAACAGATTTTTAACGTTTTATATACCCGGTGGAACTATCGCAAAAAAAAAAGAATAACAACAACGTTTAAGTATATCAAATCTTGCGTGTATTTAATTGTATCGATCATTTAGATAAGCAAACCTCCTGAACGATAAGAATTCGGTAATTCGTTGAGAAGAAGATAGGGGGTGGGTCTATGCACCAAGTTGACGAGATTAGTGTTTCGTATTTTAAACTAACAACACATACACACACAGAGTCAAGAGGATAGATGCATCGGGGAATGCAGAAATTGGGGTGGGGATAAAACGGGTGATGCGATGTGTGCCTCCTTTCGCGAGAAACGTTTGCCGCAAGTTGGTGATGGTGGTGGTAGGGATGGCGAGACGGCCCTGAGTCTCTGAAGACTACCGGTCCAAGGCCGTCGCGGGCCCCAGATTCTCTTTCTCTCTCTCTCTTTCTGTTCACCTCTTCTTATCACCCTCCCCGTTTCTCTTTGTTTGCCACTCTCCTCCTCTGCGGAACTCTAAGAGAGTTGCTGCTGTTGCCCCCTCCTAAAATTTCCAACTCTGACGTGGGTTCCCCTTATTTAGCCTTCATACGGTTCCACTTGAAATCCTACGAAACCTAGCGAAAATTTATTTCTTTTTTTTTTTTTCTTTCTTTCTCTACCCTTCTTTCCTTCCTTTATCATTAATTAATATTTATCCTAATTATTTTCGCATAAATCATATCTAATGCATTAATCCTCATTTAACCAGTATCATCATTTCTAGTGGTATTGTTTCATGAATTTGATTAAAAATGAAATCAAAAGTATAATCATTTAATAAGGAATAGTATGATTAAACGTTTAACAGAGTGCAGAATGTCTAACTGATCCTATTGGTCCCGGTCAAAACGGCTCTTCGAATGACCAACCAAGAAGAGGGGCCTTATGCCGTACTATCTTTCTCTCTCTTTCTTTTTTTAACTTCTTTTTTTTCTATCTCTCTCTATCTCTCTGACCTCTTCGCATCCTTTCTTCCTTCTTCTTCTTCTTCTTCTTTTCTCTTCGTCTCCTTTTAGCAACTCGTTCGCTTACTCGCACGCACGCGCGGTCTCTTCAGGTTGTGTCCTTCGGATCGTTGTTGCCTCACTCGGCGGTTAGCAACAGCTTGGCTGCTATGCCCGTGTTAATACCGGGTGTCTTAAATAAAACATCCATTACTTTTAGCAAATCTAGCAATAGGTATATATATATATCTTCTTATTTTCTTCTTTAACTAAATCAATCCGCCAAATTGTTCAATTCAACAATTTGAAATCGTTTCTATAGAATTTCTTTAATTGATTTATTGAAATAATTTCTTTTTATTTATTATTCATGGGAATATATTGTAAGAAACATTTGTTAGACTTTAAGATACTTTTTAAACAAGTTTTTCATTAATTTTTAGGTTATCTCGTTATCGTAGTATAGAAATCTGTCTTACCGACGTTGATTGTAACCAAAAAAAAGAAAAGAGAAAAAAAAAACATGGAAAAATATTGCAACAATATTTCTAACTTTATTTATTCGTTTCTATTTGAACATTATTGTATATTAATCGAAAATAATTTCGAAATTAAAAACAAAAATTCTTTGAGACATCTTCGGTGATATTTAAATTTTTACGATGCGCGCGATCACGATAGAAAAAAAACCAATTTAACAGAATGAAGTTAGCCGATATTTTGTTTTCCTATTTCTTTGATCATCAATAGTAAACGATAATGAAAATGATCTTTTAAGAGGTTATATTTGAAGATAAAAAAAAAAGAGAGGTTAGTTTAGCTCTTAGGACATTGCTCGTAATCCAGGATAGAAGATTAAGTTTCCCTTCTTTTACGAAGAGAAAGAAGAAGAAGAAGAAGAAGAAGAAGAAGAAAAGCAAGAGGATAAGATAGGATGAAAGATTTTCCTTTGTGCGTTGAGGTGGACAGAGGAGTCACACACAAATGCCGATTGTAGAATTGCATTCTATTGCTGCACCAATGGCGATCATGTCACAAAGATAAGAATGATGGAGAACAGGGTGGGGGGGGGAGTAAAAAAAAGGGTGTGGAATGAAGGGTATTTGATAAACGATATTATGAGATAGAAAAAGGATGATAAAAATATAATCGTATTACTTAAAACGTGCATGCCACGTGCACATGCACAACACACACACACGCACACACGCATGCATGCATGTTTTAATTATTGATTACACTTAGGACATTGTAATAAAAAAAAAAAAATAAGGTGTTGTTTCATTCGTTGTAAAAAAAAATTAATGGATACATTTTAATCACAAAAAAAAAAGACAATTAATAATAATAGTAAGAAAAAGATGGCGGAGAAGAAGTGGAGGGGGAAAGTAACGATCGGTTATACTGTAAATGAAATTCTTTGGTGGTATCTCATGCAAACAAAAAAAAATAAATAAAAAGGGATTTCAATTAGGTAAAGAAGGAAGACGAAGTAGCAGCAACCAACAGCCAACACAACGACACTTAAATTAAAATAAATTCGATATTATAAGTCAAGATGACTCGATATTATTACTTTTGTCTCTGTGTATTTTTCACGATTTATTTATTAAGAATTGCATTTGTATTTTTAATATATATATATATATTGCAAATTAACAAATATTATTTATTAATATATTTTTTTTATTTAATATTTATTATTTATTGTAAGACAATTTATAGAATTTGTTTGATATTTTAATTTGGAAAAAGAGAAAGAGAGAGAGAGAGATGTAGAAAGAGTGAGTGAGAGAGAGAGGAAGAGAGGGAACGTGCGAGTACAATGATCTCAAAGAAAGGAAATACCCGAAATAGAACCCTGCCTGTATATCTCAGGGACGAATTTATAGAGGATATTTGAAGGACGCGTGTTCAATTTGCTAAGCACGGAATCATTCGCAATAACTTCGCCAAATATTAATTTTCTTTTCTTCTTCTTCTTCTTCTTCTTTCTTTTTTTTTTTTTTTTTTTTTTTTTTTTTATTTTATTTCTCATTCCTTTTACGATATGCAATTCTTCTTTTTCTTTTTTCTTTTTTTATCTTTAAAAGGTTTAATATATTCTTAATAATTTTTATTTATTACTAATACGTTTATCCATTTATGTTGCAGGAAAAAAATTCATTCCTGAACTACAACGTTTCTTGCATTTTGACGTTGCCGCCATATCAAAGACAAGGTTATGGTCGACTTCTAATCGATTTCAGTAAGTTTAAATTATATATTTTATTATAATAATAATAATTATAATATATCGGGTTGTTCGGAAAGTAATTTTGTTTTTTACTGACACAAGTTTGGCATTAATTGATACTAACCGGCAAATAAGATCGGTGAGAGGTTAAGTTAATCAAATTTAAATGTTTGTCCCCACTTGAAAGGCTTAGGTTTAACGTCGAAGCGAATATTGTCTTCATTTTCACAAAAGAAAAACAAAATTACTTTTCGAACAACCCAATAGTTTAAAATATCGGATTTGCAAGGAAAGTCATTCCGATTTTTTTTGTTATTTTCTATATCTAATTTAACTTTCTAACCTTAAAATCATTTAACATTTTAATAACGCAACTTTTCAAAAACAAAATAGTCAGCCATTTTTGTCACACCTTGCTTTTTATATTAATGTCCAAAAAAAAAAAACATTATCTTTTATTTACCATACAAGAAAAGAAAACTTAATTACTTTCCCGGATAATCAAATAAATTCGTAGTTTCTTAGCAAATGGAAAATTGTTCTCGATAGTAAGACAGAATTCTATCGGTTCTGTTAAAGACATCTTCTTAAGAGAATGAAAAAATAAAAGATAGATAAGAAATCGATTTCTACCACAAATCCCAGGAATCTTTGAAGATCCGATAATGAGAAATAAAAGAAAAGAAAATAATAAAAATGGTTTCTTTGGTCCTCTAGTGGTGACTTTTGAAAGTAGTTTGGAACAATAATTCGTGAATGTGTTCTTTCGATACTTGAAAATAAAAATAAATCAAAAGAAAGATAATAAAAAGTATTAGTCAGATCTTCGACAAGAAACAAAAGAGAAAATGTTGACGATCAATGTGAAATTCCGTTTGAATTTCCTCATCAACGATGATGATCCTAGTGTCGTCCATTGGTGGTGGTGGTAGTAGTAGTAGTAGTTGTTTGTCGCAGTAACGAACAGTTTCTAAAGAGTTTCCAACTGTTCCACCCTTCGATCCTACCCCCATCCATCTATCCATCCATCCAACCATCCCTGTATTCCCTCCCTCTTACTCTCTGTCTCTTTTCAACGAATCGTAGCGTAGATAATTAAACGTGGGCTTTTTGCCGTGACGTCATTTTCATTGATGCCGTCGCGAGTAATGTTGGGAGAGGGAGAAACGGTGATGAGGGAAAAGAGGAGACAGAAAGAGAGGTGAGGGTGAGGGTGAGTTGAGGCGAGGTGAAGTGAGGTGAGGTGAGGTGAGGTGAGGTTTGTGTGGGTCGACGTACTACCAAGGGAGGATTAGAGTTGCGGATGGGGGTAGGTGGATGATGGTTCCGCAGGGTTTGCTGCAAACTGAGAGAGAGTGAGAAAGAGAAAGGAAGGAAGGAAGAAAGGTAGAGTAGAGTAGAGTAGAGTAGAGTAGAGTAGAGTAGAGTAGAGTAGAGTAAAAAGTGGCGTAGGAACCCGGTAAAAATCGTAGTATAGTCTGGGTTAACGTTTCTGTATTGGATGAGAGAGAGAGAGAGGTGTCTATGGTCTAGAATATACACAACACTGTAGTACCAGTTAAATTGGTATTGGTAGAAAAAAAAGAACAGGTAGAGATAGAAGGAATCCGGTAAAAATCGTAGGATAGTCCTGAACTAAAGCGACGACGACAGTACAACACATTGATGTATTAGAATCGTTGTTGTATAGCAGTGATACAGTTACTAGGATTGGTATTGGTGTTTATATAGAAAGCAAGAGAGAGAGAGAGAGAGAAAAGTTAGTAGAGGAACCGGGCTAAAATCTCGTAGCACATAGTCTGGGGTAACATCGAGGTAGCTAACGTAGAGATGTATTGGAAAGTGGTGTGTAGTATACTGGAGTGGTTAGCAGCAGGAGCAGGAGCAGCAGCACCACCACCACCACCACGACTAGCACCAGTACCACCAGCAACGGAAAGTGCGACGCCCGGCGTCTCGCCGCATCGATCGACTACCACCACCTAACCCCTATCCCCTAACCCCTCATCACAGAATTCAACATCGAGCACACAGGACTTGCTTGCGGATTCGCACGAACGCGCAGTCAAACACAGAAGGGCGACCACTGAGGGTGTACTACCACTACTACTACTGCAGGCACGTTTACTAGAATGAGTGAGAGAGAGACAGAGAACCCAGACACGCAAAGTGTCCGTCTCGTTTCCCTTCCCACCTACCCTTTTCGACGCAACCCAGCCAGACTCTAGCTTTCTCACTCGCTCTCGTACACTTCAGTACTTGCGTAGGGATCGCAATCGTATGACCTCCCGTGACCTCGCACCAGTAGTAGAGTCCCTCTCCTAGGGTTGGTTACCGTAGGTAGGGTTGCCAGCCAGGCCCCCATCACCAACGCCCTCTTTTCCTTCTTCCCATATAGGACTTTCAGAAGGAGGAGTCTTCTTCTTATTCTTATTCTTATTTTACTACTACTACTTCGATTTTCTACCTTCATCATTCATTCTCTTCCTACTATCCAACGATTCCAAAAGTCTGCAAACTAAACGGACGCGTAATGAATGCGTTCAACCCACCCGAAGTAATCGTTGGAATGGGAATCAGAAGAGGGGTGGCTGATGGAAAAGAGAAAGAGACAGAGTGAAACAAGGTGGTAGGTTCTGATGGGTACCGATGGGTGGTGATGCTGTTTGGAAGGGGTGGATTGTCCTTTATCTATATACCTTTCTCACAAGCTTGAGCTTGAGCTTGAGCTTGAGCTTGAGCTTGAGCTTGTGGGAGTTTGTACGAGACCAGGAAGACGCAAGAGGAAGAGGAACAGAAGGAGGTGGAGGAGGTGGTGGTGGTGGTGGTACTCAGTGTGGTCGTTGAACCTCCCAGTCTCCAGGACATCCCGGAATAGGACCGGTCCTGGGTCTTTCTCTTTCTCTCTCTCTCTCTCTTTCACACACGTTTGCTTGCTTGTTCCTACTTCATCGTTGGGGTTCCTGTACTTCCTTCCCTTTTCCACCATACGTGTTTTTCTTTTTCCCCATTTGTTTTGTTTTGTTTTTAAACGAATGGCCGCACAAAAAAAAAGGGACCAACCCGGCAGTTGGTGGTGCAATACGATCTTTCGGATCGAAGCTACGATTAGGTGGAAAGGTAATACGAACTGCGTCGAACGATGATCTCCTGTTCTCGATAAACGTGTGTTCTTCACCTCCACCTCCTCCTTCTTCACTTCCTACTCTTTTCTTCATTCTCTTTCTATTCTCTCTCTTCTTCTCTTTCTATTACACTTGGAAGTCGATCCTTCTTATAAAGTACTCAAGTATCGTTAACGTTCGTTGAAAGGCAGTAGTCCAAAAAAAGGGGTTTAAGATTTCGATCAGGATATAATACACACACGCACACACATGTGTAGTTTATAGGGTGTTCTTCTTCCTGAACTATCGAACTTCTTCCTTGTTTGTTTTTTTTTTTTTATCTTTTTCATCGTTCCAAATTTATAATCCAGATATTTTTAGTTCAATCTGGTAAATGATGGTTGGGGGTGGAGGTTATGTTGGTTACACAAGGGTAAATATTTTTCTCAAGGTTATTCAACCTTTTTCTTTCTTTTTCTGGGACCCCCCCACCATCGACTCAGCTAACCGCACATTTTGGGACCGGTTGAAAATTGATAGTAAAATAAATAATACAGTTATGGGGGTTGGGAAAAAGGATAGGTGTATTTTAAATATTGTATTTGCAATGATGAATAGTTTTAATATGAGAGAAGGGGGGTTGACAATTCATAATTGCATAATTGGGCCTCAATCATGGTACAATTATGATTAACCTAACATGATTGCATTTGTAATAGTGTAATAGTGTAATAGTTTTGCCATGGGAAGAGAGAAGTAGAAAGGGGGTGAATTTTGATTACTGAAAAAAATAATTTATGTTATTCATGATTGCATAATTGGGCCTTATAATTGAACATGTTATTTTTGTTTTAGTTTTATTTTAGTTATCATGATTATGATTAACCTAACATGAATATCAAATAATAATAATAATAATAATAATAATAATAATAATAATAATAGTAACACTAATATCAGTAATTATAATCGATTATTTGTTCTAGGTTATATCGGTTGGATTGTATTAAAAGTAGTATTATCTTTTGGTTTGAGAGATAGATAAGATAATTATTAGATTTAATTGAAGTATTATATCGGATTTGATCGATCGTTCGCGTTATTATTATTTTATGTACATAATTTTGTATTAATGCATTGCTAGAAAAGAAATATCTTTTGTCTTGGTAAAAAAAAGAAATTTATTAAACAATTGCAAATTATTTTTATTTGCATTTAAATATTATTAAAATTAAATGATAATTTTAATGTTTTATTTATCGCGAATTTGTCCTTGACCTAAGTGTTCAACAAAAAGGTTTATTCCGACCCCTCTTACGTGAATTTACGTCGACACATGAAACATTCGTATAGGGGTAGTTGGTTATTAAATGATTATTTATATTAATAATGAGTAAATAAATAAATTTAAAAAAAAATATATATATATATATATATAACAAAATTGTATAAATATAGAATATTTGTTTTTTATTATATTTATTTATTTTTAATAATATATCTGTTAATTACAAATTAACAATAAGTGTAATTAATTTGTTATTATTAGTTTAATTTGTAATTTTGTTAATTTTATTAATACAAAATTAATTATATTGTTAATTAGAAATTTGTTGTTAATGCAAAATTAAATATATTGTTAATTGCAAATTTACAATATATTTTTAATTATAATTTAATTTATAATAACTAATACACAAATATTTAAATTAAATAAAATAATAATCAAATTTAGCACATATATACTATTACTATAGTATATATATTACTATACTATAATATATATATATATATATAATTTTATAGTATAGTACCACTATTGGGATCTTTAGCACTTGAATACGCTATCTGGTGGCTAAATTCAAAATTAGAGTAGATAGGTCGAATTGCTACGCCACGTGGGGGATCTTTAGCACTTGAATACGCTATCTGGTGGCTAAATTCAAAATTAGAGTAGATAGGTCGAATTGCTACGCCACGTCCCTGCCAGAGATCTAAATATTATACTATACTAATAGTATAGTAACTTAGTATAGTATAGTATAGTATATATATATATATATTTTTAACTATATTTTGTATATATATTTTGGTTAGTTGGTGAAAATAGGAAAATCGTAAAACAAAAAGAAAATAGAGAAAATAATTTATTTTCAATGTGTTGGTAATATAGCAAATATTCTCGAACAAATTAGGGCTTCATTAAGATTAGAAACTAAAGCAATTAATGAACATACTTCGATGCCATAAGCACATATATTTCTCTCTCTCTCTTTCTCTCTCTCTCTATTTATCTATCTTTTTCTCTTTCTATCTTTCACCTCTTCTATCTACTTGGATACTCGAAGCAAGCGATGCGGAACGAACGTTCAACCGAAGAAGGAAGAGAGTAGTATAACCTCATCATGCTTTTCTTGCTTCAGCAGCCACGTTGCTGGCAAACGAATCTTTCTTCTTCTCTTCCTCCTCCTCTTCCTCTTCCTCCTCTTCTTCTTCTTCCTTCTTCTTCTTCTTTAGAAGTCCCTTTTTATTAAACAAATTCATTCTCATCGTTAAATTTGATCAGACTTTCATTATACGAAAATAAATTTATTTATGAAAATTATTACGTGGAATTATGTGAAAAATGGGGTGTATATTTTTGAAAATAAAAAAAAAAAATATATAAGAAAGATGAAATGAAAGAAAAAAAAAAATAGAAGAACAAAAGTTAAAAGAGAGATTAAAACTATAGTTAGTTTTCTCAAAATAAATGGTTGTCGTCCGCCATTTTGAACACGAGAAGCCTCGACCCGGTATTCTTGGTATTTCTCGTCTAGAGTCTAAAACGGACACCCAATGCGAACGGATGCGGACGGATGCGGACGCAATCCTGCTGCTGCTGCTGCTGGTGCTGCTGAGAGAGGGTTTCTCTCTCTCTTTTTCTCTCTCTTTCTTTCTCTCTTACTCTCTCTCTCTCTCTCTCTCTCTCTCTCTCTCTCTCTCTCTCTCTCTCTCTTTGCTATTTCATCCTTCGTCGGTCACTGACACTCAACGCGTGCCGATTCACTATTAACCATCTTTCAAAGATTACTTGCTAAATTTCCTTTACATTGTATTATATTGTACTTCAAATTTTGAGGTTAGATTTAACTTTAAGTTCTACTTTACCGACAGTCATTCAATGATTCATAGTTGATTTGTAATTGGTACTTCTTTTTGTCTTTTCTTTTATATTTATATTATAATTTATGTATTATATATAACATTGAGTTATATTTGAATTTATTTTTTATATTAATAATATATTATAATAATATTAATATTTTATTAACATTACATATATATATATATATTGATATGAAAAATATATATAAAAAAAAAAAACTAAAGGAGAGAGAGAGAGAGATGAATATTTCTGTGTTTGTAAATAAAAAAATTGAGTGCACGGGATGCACTTATAACAAGATTGTAACATAACATTATCTGAATAATTCGAAAGAGAGAGAAAAAAAACAAAAGAGAATACAGATGAGAGAGAGAGAGAGAGAGAATAGAAGATACTCTCTTCGAGATGCGTTTCGTCGGAAAGTGCAGTCGAGTGCAGGCGAATCGTAGATATTATATGCATTCGCATCGATGCACTTAACCCTTAACTTCTGTAGTATACGTGCAATCAGGGTGAGTGAGGGCTTCAAACTCCATTGGAAATTCTTTTTATAGGTCACAATATTTATCTTTTTATTTTTTTTATTTTTTTTAATATATCTTTTCTTCATAAAAAATTCTATGTAAAAATAATATTAATTACAACGTGTAAGTTTGTAATTAACCTAAATTAAAAAAAAAAAAGAAAAGGAACAAAAGAAAATACAAAACTGATGAACTAAAAATGAAATTTTTTTTTTCTGTTTAATTTTTTTGTTTTTTGTTTATGAAGAATAAAATCAAATTAAATCGTTTGATTGAAAAATAACAAAATTTATTATACTATAATATATATATATATATATATAATTTTATTTATATTACATTATTTTTATTTTATTACTTTTATTTATATTATATTACATTATTTTTATTTTATTATTTTTATTTTATTTTTATTTTATTTGTATATTGTATCATTTCATAAAAAAAAAAATTACATTAACAATCAATCAAAAACAATATATTTTATTGTTGTTGTTATTGTTGTTTTTTAAATTTATTTATTTTACAAAGATTTAAGAAAGAACAAAAAAAAAAAGTAGAATTGAACATTGATCAAGGACAAATGGGAATAGGTTTAATAAAATGGCGTAATAAATAAGTATAAATGTTCATAGTATCGTTTAGTGTCAGTCAATCATCAGACCATTCGTCGACACCTTCTCTCTCTCTCTCCCATTAATATGTTGAAAACGAACTCAAACTGCATTTCTATTTCCTGTGATCGGCAAGTATTATATTTATGAAGGTATATATGTATGTATATATGTATGTATGTATGTATGTATTATTCCTCTTTCGTGATGCATCCTACGCGATATGTGTTTGCTTTTCCATTCAAAGAACTTACTATTTACCAGAGTCAAAACACTTTATATATATATATATATGTGTGTGTGTGTATTTGTTTATTTGTATGAGTGAATGCATGTGTGGGTTTTGCGTCTCTATGGAATCCTGATTTTACGTGAACGGCTTCTATTGTTGGCTTCATTGGTTCGAGACAAGCCATTTTCTACGTACAACAACACTCTGACTGTTCTCATCTCAAAATGAAAGAGACGCATAAGTTTTGTATTAGGCGAACGAGGCGTCTACAATCAACACAATAAACATTACACCAACTACACTTACTCATTTATATATTATTTATAATTTAGAATAACGTTTAGCAATATTAATTCGTTATCTTGATATTAAATTACTTATAACACACTCTGATTTTGAACGTATACAATCAGTCGCCATTTTGATAAACTAAGTCATTGAAAATTATGGAAACCAATTAGCAATTGTTAACGAGTATTAATTATTTTTTAATTATTTCAATTATCTTTTTCTTTTTATTTATTTATTTATTTATTTATTTATTTTTATAAATTATTCTAAAACGCAATTATTTCGTTGTTTTAATATTAAATTACTTGGAACTCGGATTTGAATGAATACTATCAGCCGCCATTTTATAATCGCCATTTTGATAGACGAAATCATTGAAAATGGTGGAGATTAATTAACAATTTGTAACGAGTATTAATTATTTTAATTATCTTTTTCTTTTTATTTATTTATTTATTTTTATAAATTATTCTAGAACGTAATTAATTCGTTTTCTTGATATTTAATTACTTATAATACTTTGATTTGAACGTATACAATCAGCCGCCATTTTATAATCGCCATTTTGATAAATTTTATCATAGAAAATGATGAAAACCAATTAACCATTTTTGATATAACTTTTATCTTTTTATTTATTTGTACAAATTATTCTAGAACACCAATGTAATAAAAAACAACAACAACAACAACCTTTTTTTTTTAAACATATAATTCAAAAAGAAAACAAAAATTACAGGAGAAATTATAAGGGGTTAAAAAATTTTTGAGTTTTTGAGGTTGGTTTTCCACTCCATTATTGTGATAGGCTCAAAAATTTAATCAATTGTAAAAAAATTTGTATTTCTAATAAAAGTTAATAAAAAAAAGAATAATTTTGGTATAAAATAGAAAGAAAAATAACAAATTTATGATAAGTATTCTTTATCGTTTTTGTTGATTAGGTTATCTGTTAACAAGGGTTGAGAAGAAAATAGGTTCACCGGAAAAACCTTTATCGGATTTGGGTCTAATATCTTATCGAAGTTATTGGAAGGACGTTTTACTGGAGTACCTTTGTAATTTTGGTGGAAAAGAACTTTCGGTTAAAGGTAAGAGTTTCATTCATTTATTTTATTCGTTTACAATTGTTTTTTTTTGTTTTGTTCATTTATTTTTCAAATAATAAATGAACAATCTTACAACGTTGTTTTGAAAAAAAAAAAAAAGACAACTAACCTATCGGGTTTTGTTTGAATTCGCAGATATCAGTAAAGAAATGGCAATTGATTCGTATGACATCGTTAGTACCTTGCAAGCCCTTGGAATGATGAAATACTGGAAGGGCAAGCACATTATATTGAAGAAACAAGTAAGTATTGTAATTTTGTATTATCAACTTTATTTTATTTTATTTATTAATTTTTTTTTCTTAAAAGCAGATGCTCTCGAGAAATACAACAATTGATGACGATATAATTTAAATGAAAATATTACAATGAATGATTAACAATAATTAACCTTAACATTTGCTATATTAATTTGAATGTATACAATTAGCCGCCATTATTATAAAACCGCCATTTTGATGAACAAAGTCATCACAAAATAATGGAGATCAAATTTGTAGTATAACTTAATTATTTTATGATTAAATACTAAATGCATTACAGAAAATTAAAAAAAAAACACACACAGAATTAATTATTACACCTAATATAAATATTTAATTATTTATTATTTCAGAAATATATTTTTATAATTAATATAAATTAACCTTTTTTAATCAATACAATGTCCAACATGACTCGACATTATAGAATATTTTTAAAATAATAATAAAAAAAGTTTCTAACAAAAATTTGAAAAAATACAATAAGATTAATTTAGGTTATGTTCTTATAAAAAAAAAAAAAAAAAATGTTATTGAAACAATATCTAATTTTTATAGAAATAAAAAAACCCATGAAAATTTCTTAAAGTAAGGTTAGAAATATGAATAGAAAGTGAATATAATTAGGTATGAATAGAATTGATTAGAAAAGTAAAGTAAAGTAAAATAAAAAAAAAAAAAGAAACCTAACCTTATTTTCAGGATGTGATCGACGACTACAAAGAAAGAATGAAAAGACATGGTCTTGGCTACAAGGAGATCGATCCAGAGTGCCTAAAATGGAATCCCTTCCAACCTCCTAAGACACCCTCAGCTTCCAACTAAAAGGGCGAAAGGAAAAACGAAGGAGGATAAAGAAGATGAAGAAGGTTGGAACTCTTCTCTTGTAAGTAGTATAGTTGTATGTGTGACACCATAAAAAGGAAAAAAAAAAGGAAGAAGAAAAAAAAATAACGCCAGTATTTATTATGGGGATTTGTATACTTATGTGTGTATGTCTGTGTCTCTGTGTGTATGTCTGTGTTTCTGTGTGTGTGTGTTTCATGTTTCTAAGAAAAAGAAATAGGATATTATATTATACTAATATTCATATGCATGTGTATGATATGTAAAAAAAAGAAAAGTAATAGTATTTATTTAAATAAATCATATATTGACCAATAAGTAAATTTAATAATAACAATTTATTAATAATAATTTGTTTAAATGAAAAAAAAAACTAATTAAATTAGAAGAATTATAACTAACATTTGTGTATTTGCTGATGCACATATTTATATAAAAATATTATATTAATTATTATATTATTATATTAATTATATAAAATATTATATATTAATATTATATATATATATATATATATATATATATATATTACTTCATATATTTAATTATTATTATTAACAAATTATATATACAAATATTCAAAATTAAAAACAACTGTATAAAACTTATTGGCCAATGATTGTACGACATGCATTTTCAAAAAAGAAAGAAAAAAAAAGAAACAAGAAAAATGATGTCAATATTTATGTATATGCATATAATTGTGAGAAAAGAGACAGATGCAGTTATAATGCATATATACAGCATATGTATGTATGTATGTATGTGTGAAAAAGAGAAAGATATAAGTATGTTAAGATCGAATCCTCTCTGGCACTCCTTTTGAAGTATTCAACAAGGAGGTGGCATTTGGGTTGGTCGATTTCTCTTGTAAATT